GAGTGGTTTAAAATGGGGCTCTCAACTCACACAATGCAGGCCTGTATCGCAATTCCACCACTTCTCCAATGCATGACCTCAGGTAACCACTCACCTTTCAGAGTTGCAGTTTCCATATCCATAGCATGGATGTGACTAGTCCTTACCTTGTATGCTGGCTGTGATAACACAGTGAGGCAATGTACAGAAAGGGTAAACGCAGAACCCGGGACAAGTACACACAATAATTTAAAAGTATGAATTAACAGTATCAATGAATACATGTTAATTATAGCATATAAGAGCATTGGTGTGCCCACAGTGTGCCAGGCACTCTTCTAAGTGCTCTACATGAAGTTAACTAATCCACTGTGTACTGCCAGCAACAATGGAGGGTGGCTTCACTCCCTGTGATACACCCCCTGGTCACTTCTGACTCTCACAAACACACACAATGAATGAATTGGCAATGCCTGCCTCTGTAGATTCAAATCCAAACTCCCTTTTTAGCACTGCATCCTTTTTTATCCCAGTACTGACTCAGGGTTTCAAAATTCAAATACCCTCAGAAGCCAGACGGGTGACATATGTGAGCGAAATGGGCCAGGTGTGAGACAAAAGGGAGTAGTGGAGACTGGGGTGAACTAGACAATTTATAATGCATCTAAAGGGGGTTAACTATAACCAGCAAGTGCTCAGTTGCTAAACCTTTAAAATTTTCAAAGAAAATGGTACATAAAATCTCCCAATGGTTAGAAGTTGGCAACTCTCTTAAATATTTTAAAGAATGTCAGGTGGGCTAAATAGGGCACACATCTATGAGCTGAATTTGGCTACTGCCACCAGTTTTACAAACTGTTGAGTAAATGTTTTTCCTTTAGGTAAGTATCAAGGCCCCACAACTAAAGTTTAAACAAAGATTTGGAAACATCCTTTGACTGGACTGCCTCCTCTGCTCCTCTCCCTCTCCTTGTCTCTTTAACTCCAAAGGCCAAGTAAGAATCTAAAATCCTACTGGGTTCCCTAAAGGAAGAAGCTGCTGGAGGGCTGCAGAGGCACTATCCAAATTCCAAAGGCCCCAGGGATGCTGTTTCTAGGAGGCTGACAGTTCGCTGCTTGATTTTTCAAGGCCAAGTCAGAGTTAGAGTCCATTTCAGCTCTAAAATTAACTTCTTCGGGGAAAAAAGAAAACTACTTGAGAGGTTTCTAATTACCATCAAGATAGCACTCTAAGGCTTTCTACAGTCTGGATGTTGGGTCCTCTTCCAGTCTCATCCCTAAATGAATCTCCTCTTCCCTAAATTAACCCGTAGTTCTGGCCTGACTGGGCCACACACAGCTGGGGGTGCAGCTGGTGCCTCTCCTTGTCTGTTAGAGGCAGTGAGCTGTGGGGATGAAGGGCACAAGCTGTAGGGCCAGATCACCAGGGTTCCCACCAACCAATCCCTACCTGTGTGACCCAAGACAAGCTACTTAACCTCTCTGTACCTCAAAAAAAATGGGAATAATAATGGTATTTGCCTTTTTGAGTTGCTTGTTGACAGAGTTTAATGAGTTAATTCATGTAATGAACTTACCACATGGGCTGAACCATTCTAAGTCTCAATGAGTGTTAGCTAATGCTGTGTATGCCATTGCCTGGCCTGAAATACCTTTCCTAGCCAGACTCCAAGGCTTTGCTCACCACCAGACCATCTGCCCTCCTTTTCCTCTAACTTCCCATCCAAAATATTCTCTCTATACCAGGAGTGGCAAATAAGTTCAGTCTTATGTGCCAGTCCCCACAGCAGTGATAGGGGCTGCCTGAATGGGCAGGCTCAATGTCTTCTAAGGCAGAGGGAGTGCTGAAGTGCTACAGTTGATTGGTAGTGTCTGCTGTGGCAGAGAATGTGCTGAAGTGCTACAGTTGATTGATAATGTCTGCCATGGCAGAGGGAGTGCTGAAACGCAGGGCCAATGAAGCCATCCCTTGGCCATTCTTGGACCAAGCATGCTTGTCCAAGCAAGCATATGACACTGCCTTATATTAAAATAATCTCTCTGCAGTTGGATTTCAGGCTTCTCTAGTTTCTGTGAGAGCCAAGAACTTGTTTTAGACCACTGCACCCCTTCCAATCTATACCAAGTTTTGAATTAGTAACAGCCAAAGGCTAAATCAAAAGACTCCAAACAGAATATTGGCTTCTTCCAGGCTACAAAATCCAGTTGGGATCTGCCAGAGGCTTGGAATCCTGTTGGTGGGCATCTGAACAAGTGCAACTCCAAAAATGCATGATCAGCCTCAGTCAGGATCAGAAGGACCACACCGGACTCACAATGAATTCCCCTTTTCATCTGTAAAGCAAAGCTTGCTTATGTTGGAATGTATATACCCAGTTCCCGAGTTCCAGAGAAACAACCACAGGCTAACATTCACTGAAGACTCACAATTTGCCATTGTTCTAAGAACTTTATAACTTATTTAATCTTTACCACCACCCCAGGAGACAGATCTCATCATTATCCCAATCATACCAATGAGGAAACTAAGGTCCAGAGAGATTAAGTAACTTGCCCAAGGGCACACAACCGGCATATGGCAAAGCCACCACTGTCTCCTACAGATATCCAGATATTTTTGAGAGCAAAATCAGGAAAAGACAGGCTTGTCCCCCCAGCACATAAAAGTCCCCTACTTGGCTGGGAGCTGTGGCTCACACCTCTAATCCCAGCACTTTGGTAGGCCAAGGCAGGCAGATCACAAGGTCAGGAGTTTGAGACCAGCCTGACCAATATGGTGAAACTCTATCTCTACTAAAAATACAAAAATTAGCTGGGCGTGGTGGTGCATACCTGTTGTCCCAGCTACTCGGGAGGCTGAGGCAGGAGAATCGCTTGAACCCTGGAAGCAGAGGTTGCAGTGAACCAAGATCATGCCACTGCACTCCAGTCTGGGCAACAGAGCAAGATTCCATCTCAAAAAAAATGAAACAACAAAATAGAAGTCTCCTACTTTTAGCTATCCTAAAACCAAATCTTCATCATACAGATAGAGGCTGCTGACTCATTTTAACAAAGAATTCTTTACTTCAGAGAAAGAAATTATCTTAGAAAGCCTTTCCATATATTTAGAAGTTGAAATTCATTTACAAGGTTTCCACCGACATGCAACATTGTAGGATTCTGCCTGACACATCAAACAGGGTATGGATAGGATCAGACTATCGTGTGAGAGCTTTTAAAGCCTTCCTGAAGAAGAAGCCCTTGAACCTCACAGTCTAGAACTCTGCCCTCAGAACAGCTGTATTTAATCCTGGTTTCACAACAGATTTACTTGGGGGAGCTTTCAGAAAACATAGATGCCAGCAGGAGCCCTGTTTTATTCTGTCAATAGGGGGTGCTAGAAGGAGACTGGCAGGTGGAAGGTGGGAGAAGGAATTTTCCTCTTTCCATTGGCTTCCTATTTGCTTCTCGTTCTGCTGAATGGCACCCAGCCTTGCTGATTCATGACAGCAGCTGCAATTCACTTCCACAATGGCAAATAAATCCAGTTTGCAGTATCTCCAACTATTGAAGAACCAGTGTTATGACTCCTCGCCCTGGTGACACCAGCACAACCTGTACCCTCTTCTCAGGGGTTTCAGTTTCTGCTCTGCAGGATCCCTGCGCCAAGCTCCAAGTTTATGAAACTTTTAATTTCTTCCCTTATTCTCCCAGCTGGAGGGATGCTAGCTGCTTTCTGCAGCTGCCTCTTCCCCAGTACCTCAGTACTGCCTTCTTGACTTCTCAATTACCTCGTTAACATTTTCTTTATACATAGTTAACAGTTCTTTATATCAAATTCTTGCTTTTAATATACTTATGTTGTCTCAGTCTCTTGACTGGACTTTGTTCCCCCAATTTTGAACTGTTTCTTTCTCTGCCCCCAAATTCCACTCATCCTTCAAGATCTAGCTCAAAAGGAAACATTCTCTGTCCATTGCAACACACACAACTCTCACCCATGAATTCCTGCGGACTTCATGGTCTCTACTACCCAAGCTTCGACACGGTCACATACTGCAGGAGTTGGCAAACCATGACCCCTGGGCTAAATTCAGTCCTCTGCTTTTGTATCTGAAGTTTTATTGGAACCCAGCCACGCCCATTCATTTATGGCCGCTTGCATCCTGCAACAGCAGAGTTGAATCATCACCAGAGAGACTACATGGCCCATGATGCCTATTTACCATGTGACCCTTTCAAGAAGTTTTCTGACCCCTGGTCTATTGTCTTGTGTGGGTCTCTATTTCATGTTTTGAATCTCTCACTACACAGGATACTGAAAACTGCAGAACTCTCAGCACATGGCAACTCCATCCAAACCCCCACACTCAGAAACTTGACCAAACTCTAGCACGGCTTCTAGCAGCATAAGGCTGTGTCCCTAGGATCACGTCTGCACCTCTCATAGTACCTGCTTAAAAGCTCAGCATGGCCAGGGGGTTTCCTGTTTGTTCCAGCCAAGGTACACCTGATGATACCCCCGACCTCCCTTTCTTACGGCATTTACAAGAAAGGGCTTACAATTGTAAATATCTGTCTCTTGCAACTAAGAAGCGTCTCTCCCAAGCACCTGAGAACCATTCTTCTGAAACAGAATCAGCAGGAAGGACAGGGCCTCTGTCTCCCAGCCTCTGTGGGAGGGTAAGTGCTAACTTTGATAACTGCCAGCCAGTAGACACAGCAGGCCTCATTGCATTTATGCTGCCCAACCCTTTGTACTATGTCGCTTCTCTGGCTCTGTGGAGACTCCACTCTTCCCCATCCTTCATTCTCCCTTTAAAACACGCAAATCACCTCTGTACAAATTGTAATGAAGCTCAGCTCTTTCCGTACTGTCTGTAGTTACTGAATAAAATCTGTTTTCACTTTAACTAATGTCCAGCTGCACTTATTTTTGACCATACTCAGCAAATGATCAACACCCATTTTATTAATTGACAATTCATTGGTTACCAAGAGTTGGTTTCTGTTCCACCCCACCTGGCAAAGCCTCTTACCTAAGAGTGAACTGGTCTGCCACAGAGCTACTGGTCAGAGAGACCAAAAAGGTGGCCGTGTCCCCTTCCCGGACCAGATTCAGGGGTACCGAGATGACGACGTTCTCATCCAAGCTCACCAGGGACCACTTCAGATCATCTTGGGTTGGGTAGACAACCACACTCCCAATCCTCTCTCGGGCTGGAAACGCTTGCTGGGGGCTCTCCAGGCCCGCGTGGATGTTGTTCTCCCACTTGCCTTCCTCCTCCAGAGGACACTGGCCAGCCTTATCGGCTGGGTAAAGCGTGAAGAAGAGCTCCATCGCAGTTCCCCCCAGCAGGGCTGGGATCTCCTCCTCTGGCTCCAGGTCCAGGCCTGAGCTGAACCACTCAGGCAGCAGCTCCAGCTCAGCCACACACAGCCCCGGGGCCCCCTGCAGCCGACAGCTGGCTGCCACTTCCCTGGCCTCAGGGAAAGCAAACATCTTGACACAGGGTAGATCTTCAGTAAGATCGCTGTCATCCCAGCCCATGCCAGTGACATAAAACAAGGTCTGCACTTTGGGTCTGTTGGAGTAGATGGAGCTGTCAAGGATGTGGGATTTCAACTTCCAGTTGAAGGGAAACTTGTCCATGTTTCCAAAGGCTGTGGATGTCAACAAGAGCTCCTGGGGGATCATCTTCTCCACGGAAAACGGGCCATAGCTGGCATTGATAATAGGGGGTGTCCTGGCTCGGTAGATGAAGAATGGCTCCACCCGGGCCTGCAGACTGGCATTCCTCGTGAGATCTTGGTTGGCTTCTTTGAGGAAGAAGGACTCCTCTGCATTGGAGATGTGCAAGCTTGAGGGGAGGTAAGCCGGGAGCGAGGAGAACTTCTGCAGGCTATCCACAATCCCTCGACTCTCTGTCACTGCACAAGAAAGGAAAGCAAAAGAATAAAACCGTGTTCTGAGATGTAATGGAATAAATGCAATGCAGGCTCCACCCATCTCCCCAACAAACCGCCCACTGGCCACTGTTTCTCCCCCAGGTCCCATCACACTGAAAGCCCTGTAATTATATAAAGCACGTTCCTCGGGATCTTCCCAAAAAGACAGCACAGAGTGGGAAGGAACACCATTTACCACCAATCCAATAGTCCTGGGTTATTTCGAGTTATTTCTCTAAAGGGAAAACATTGCTTCTGCTGTTTGTGCAAAATCAGAAACTCAAAAGATCATGGACATCGTTGTTCATCCACCCCACAGACACCCACCAGGTCTACCCATCAGGCCTTGCACCATTGCATGTGACGTGTTGTATCTTACTACTCTGATACTCACGCTGCTCTCTATCACTTCTCTGAGTGACATCTCTGTGGACATGATGACATCTCTACAATTCTTACTGAAAAGACACTGAAGCTCAGTGTTCCCATTTCTAGAAATCTCTCCTTCCGAATTACCAACGAGAACGCACAAAGGTTTGTCTACAAGGACATTCATTTAGAGTTGCAAACAAACACATTTAAGAGCATATGTGCTGAGCCAGGCGGCTGGATTTGAATCCTGGCTTTGCCACTTCCTAACTGAGCAAACTTGAGCAAGTTACTTAGCCTTTCTACCACAAATGTCCTCATATAAAGCAGGACATAAACATGAACTGTACCTTACTGGGTTGCTGGAAGGATTAATGAGTTAATAAATACAAAGCACAGCCAGGTTTGGTGGCTCACACCTGTAATCCCTACATGTTGGGAGGCCAAATCGGGTGGATAGCTTGATTCCAAGAGTTTAAAACCAGACCGGACAAAATAGTGAGACCCCATCTCCACAAAAAAAACACAAAATTATCCAGGCATGGTGGCACATGCCTGTAGTCTCAACTACTTGGGAGGCTGAGGCAGGAAGATCTTGAACCCAAGAGGTGGGGATTACAGTGAGCTGAGATTGCACCACTGCACTCCAGCCTGGGCAATAGAGCAAATTCCTGTCTCAAGAAAAAGAAAATGGAGCACTTAGAACAATGGTGGCACACAGAAATGTGCTGTCAATATTTACCTACAATTATTATTACTCTATATTATTTTAATACATATTCAGTAAGTTGATCAATAGGAAACTAATCATTTTACAGTGCAATAGTATGAAACTATTTTTTAAAATGAGGTAGAGCTATACAAACATACTCTAAAAGATGCCCACAATATGTCATTAAGGATAAAAAACAAATTAAGTATAAAAAAAAAATCAGGCCAGGCGCAGTAACTCATGCCTGTAATCTAGCACTTTGGGAGACCGAGGCAGGCAGGTTGCCTGAGCTCAGGAGTTCAAGACCAGCCTGGGCAACCCTGTCTGTACTAAACCCATCTCTACTAAAAATACAAAAAAAACAGCCGGGCATGCTGGCATGCACCCATTGTCCCAGCTACTGGGGAGGCTGAGGCAGAAGAATTGCATGAACCTGGGAGGCAGAGGTTGCAGTAAGCCAAGATTGGGCCACTGCACTCCAGGCTGGCGACAGAGCAAGACTGTCTCAAAAAAAAAAAAAAAAAAAAATCAAATGTGTCATATTTCATCCTATTTGGTAAATTTTTAAAATTCTACATGTATATGTATATGTATATGTATATATTTATGTTTGGGTGTCTACAGAGCCCAAAAGAGAAAGTTTTTGTTTTTTACATTTACGTTTCTACTTTCTTTTAATTTGTTACCACCACGTATTACTTTGTTATTTAAAACACACAAAACATATACATAACATGTACATGTGAGTATATATGTGTATGTATGTTTATTAGCATGTTTCTTTCAAATGGGAAAACACAGACAGCAAAGACCCAACAAGCTTTTTCAAAGTGAAGAAAGCCCACCAGGAACCAGGGTCAGCAAATCAGGCCAAAGAGAGAGACTTTTTTTTCCTCTTGCCCTGAAATAAACCTCCACCACTGGAGTCTGGTTTTCCAACCAATGCAAGAAGAAACGGAACCGGACGGTAGTGCTTAAAAGTCAGCATCTTAGACATCCTAGAGGAGGAAACAGCAGATAAATCCCATTCCACTGACCCTGGCTCCTGGTGACATGTTTTTCTGCAGCTGTTACAAATTCTGCAAAATACAGCTTCTATTGATTTAAAGACTTTTTGGCCTGTGTGGGGCTGTCCTTGTAAGCTTTCCCTTTCTAGAGGGTGACAAAATTGTAATTAGTAGATTGTGAAAAAGATGCAGCCCACGAAGGGGCTGATACATCCTTTTTCTAAGAAGGAAGCAAGTTCTCCTCAAATGTCATCAACATGGCCAGTCCCTTGTCAGAGTCACTACTACAGAGGGTAATTACATATTCATTCCTCCAATTACTTAACTAAATATACTTATTATTCACTTATCTCTCCAGCATTGTGGCATGTAAAAATATTACAGGGACAATGCAGTCATGATTTCTGCCTCCAAGGAACTAGCAAACTGTGTTCAGCCAATCAGAAGCTCCGGAAGACACAGCTAGCATTCAGAAAGCAATTAGGAAATCGGGCATTAAGATCCTAAAAAAATGTCTATCTCAGGAATTCACCTAGGAATTTGTTCTAAGGAAATAATCAAGAGGTCAGGAAGGAGATTAATGTGCAGGTAGATTTATCACAAGCATGCATGATTTATAACAGCAACACACCGGAAGCAGTCCAAAACCCGTCATTAAGGAAATGATTAAAGAAGTTATTCAAGCCACACTATGTGTGCGACATTAAACTGCCATCAAAACCATGATTTCAACAAATCTGTAACGTCATGAGAAAACACTTACAGTATGTTAATTGAAAATGACCTCAAAACTTCATTGAAATTATCTCAAATATATTTAAACACACGATATATTCCCTTCTGCAGTATAGGCCCGGGTTTCCTCCAGAATAATGTCCATATAGGCTGGGCAGGATTTGGATCAAAAGATAGAGGAGGGAGGCATGATTTGACGAATTAGCCTCATCTAAAGGAAAGTTTTAGCTGCTGCCGCCACCAAGGGGCAATCTGTATTTTGACAATGTCAAGCAATGCAGAAGCACCGCTCCAGATGAAATTTAAATTAGTTCTTTCTGTCGTTGGTTGATTTCCCTTCTCTAAACCAGGAAGTTAAATTCCAGGTGAATTTGCTTGTAAATTAGTTGGCAACAGGAACATAGTCAGCAGGGAACACCTGGCTTGTGGAGCATGACAATATCTCTCAGCTGGGCTAACCAGGCACCCAGCCCACCGGGCTTGAATTTTACTTCTCGTAAAATTTACGGGGAATCCAAGGTAAGGCTTAAATTCTGACTTATTTACAGATATGCAAAAGGAAATTAAAATAAATGCAAACTTTAATATGCTCTGTTTGCACTGTAGATTGGTTTATTGTTTTCTTTATCTTTTATGTAGGTATTTTACACCTCTCAAAAATTGGTTTACAAGAAATGTAAAGCTGCACCTTCTCTTCTTTACTGCAGCCAAAGCCTCCATTTGATCTGAAATAGCAGTGTAAGGCTTACACTCCTGTCCCACCATAACTCAAGCAAAATGCAATACAAATTTTGTCTGAAAGTGTATATGGAAAGCCATAAATGTCAGCTGCCAGAGCCTTATTCTGTTCTCAAACCAGATTGCAACAAAATATGTAATACCTGAATTTAGGAGGATTTTATGAAGCCACGGGACTGTGTTCTGAGAAATACACTGAAAAACTAACACTCTTCCCTTTAATCCCAAAATGTCACATAGTAACACCATTCTTTTTCCCATTGGCAGGTAGAGCGTGTGGCCCGCGTTCTGAATGTGAAATGAGGCCCTATTCAGTCTGCCGATTTCCTAGAGAGCTATTTACCACTGGACAGAATGAGGTGGGCCGTGAGAGCAGGAAATGAGGAAGGAGCAATGAGGCCCAGCTTAAAAGAACTTCTCATCACTGCCCTCCTTATGAGGCAAGAACAGAGTATAGTTCAGGTCCAGAGAGGACCCAAGGTGCACCAGAGACATGCTCTGTTGGCTGAAGAATGCTCCGACTCAAAATACCAATGGCAGATGGCTCCAAAGAAGCCCTAAAGACAGACTCGGGAGGAAGATAGGGGAGGAGATTAATAATATTACTCCTAGAATGAAGCAACTCACAGAGTGCCAGGAATCCTGATGGGGACCCTGTGACCCAAATTGAGTGGATGTCACTGCTGTGCTTAGCACACAAAAAATATTCCTGGACATGGATCTTAGTACTGGTGGGACGTGAAGTCCTGAACCCCAAGATGGTACAATGTGAACCTGCTACAACAAGGAACAGACTCAGAAAGCAGCCCCTTTCATTATTAGCTCCAGTCATGTCTAGAAGACAACAGTCTTGTGGCTACTGGTGACCCACTTAGGGTACAGGCCCATGACACTTCTGAGGCTGAGTCTCCTCTAATTCATATAAAACAACTCAGACATAGAGAGCTAGGCACAGAAAGCTCTTTTTCCAGTGGGCCAGGTGGCCAGGTGGCCAGGCTTTTGAAAAACACCAGCAAGTGAAACTCCTTACTGGTCTGCCAAAGTGTGGCCCTGACTAAAACTGACAATTCACCACCCCCTGGGTACTGTGGGAATAACCACAACCTTTACTGACTTCATGGTCATGGAGGCCAGGAGCTAGAAGGAGGCCTTTGTCAGCATTAATATTAGTTCAGGATGGTGTAGTAAACGTCATCTCTGGCAGCGGAGGAACAGACTAGAAAATCTTCCATGCTTTCTTCCACCCAGAGTTCTCCCATCAATTTCCCCAGCTTCACTTGGTGCTGTTCTCACATCTTTCTCGTTGCCCTTACTTACACTTGCTGAGGAAGCTCATCATCCACATGTGAGCAGAGAAGACTCCTTCTTGTCTGGATTTCTTAGCTCAGAGAGACCACCTCTGAGCTGAGCAACAACTCTAG